GAGGACACGCCTGGGCACACCTGGGACACCTTGGGGACACCTGGACACACCTGGACACACCCGGGACACCTTGGGGACACCTGGACACACCCGGGACACACCTGGGAAGGTCTGAGGACACACCTGGACACATCAGGGGCACACCTGGGGACACCTGGGACATACATGGGGCACACCTGGACACACCTTGGGGACACCTGGGCACACCTGGAAGCACTTGGGGACACCTGGACACACCTTGGGGACACCTTGGGGACACCTGGGGACACGTGGGGACACCTGGACACACCTGGGGACACCTGGGACATACATGGGGACACCTGGACACACCTGGACACACCTGGGACACACCTGGACACACCTGGGACACCTTGGGGACACACCTGAACACACCTGAGACACCTTGGGGACACCTGGACACACATGGACACACCTGGACACACCTGGGGACACCTTGGGGACAGCTGGGGACACCTGGGACATACATGGGGCACACCTGGACACACCTTGGGGACACCTTGGGGACACCTGGAGACACCTTGGGGACATCTGGGGACACCTTGGGGACACCTGGGGATACCTGGGGACACCTGGGGACAGTTGGGGACACACCTGAACACACCTGGGGACACCTGGGGACAGCTGGGGACACCTGGAATTACCGGGGGAGGTCTGAGGACACACCTGGACACCCCTGGGACACACCTGGGACACCTGGACACACCTGGAATCACTTGGGGACACCTGGGGACACCTTGGGGACACCTGGGGACACCTGGACACACCTGGACACATCTGGGACACACCGGGACACACCTGGGAAGGTCTGAGGACACACCTGGACACACCAGGGGCACACCTGGACACACCTTGGGGACACCTGGGACACCTTGGGGATACCTGGACACACCTGGGGACACCTGGACACACCTGGAATCACTTGGGGACATCTGGACACACCTTGGGGACACCTTGGGGACACCTGGACACACCTGGACACA